TGTCCCCCCAGGTCCCCCTGTCCCCCCCCCCCCCCCCCCCCGTGATCTGCGCCCATGGCTAGTATGCGATGGGACCCCGTCTTTTTCGCATTTCGGTAATGTCGAAGAAGAAGGAGGGTACATTGAACACAGGTTGAGGTAAGTTGGCTTTTTTTTGACATGTTATTTTGTTCGGGGCAGTATTTGAAAGAGATCAGTTTAACAGCTGAGATACTACCCGTCCAACTTTGGAGGGTTTTCTTTTTGGTACACCTGATATATATATTTGGTATCTTAATATTAATAAACATTAGCCAGCACTTGATAATAGTTTGCCCGAAATTTTCCAACGTAGTTTACCTGCATTTTTATACGCCCACATCTCTCTATGTCGGTCCGTCCGTCCGTCAACATTTGCTTGTAAACGCTCTAAAAACTAGATTTTTTTATGGAATCAAATGAAATTCGGTATGTGTATACATATTCATGAAACGAAGATCAAGTTCGAATTTGAGCTATTTTCGACCGTTAGAAGCAGAGTTATTGCCCTTGCCCCAAAATATTGAATATGCTATTAGTTTTCATTTTGATGAAACTTAGGTCGCTGCCCCAAAAAATAATATTTAGAAGGGGGGGGGGGGGGGGGGGGGGGGGTTATCCATCAAAGCTGGGAAAACTTGTTTGTAATTCAAGAAAAGCGAGCCGATGGAAGTGACGATAGTCTATAAATTTAGACAGTTATTAACATGCCAGCATGCAGATTGTACAGGTGGCACATCGGAAAAGTACTGTCGAAATACGTCAACGTTAACAACGTTCCAATTGTCATGGGTTCAGACATTTACGTCAGCATGCTCTTTTCTATTTGCGGACGAACTAGAAATTGGATACACATTCTGGAAAGCGAAATCGATCAGCGATTTCGCCATGAAAAATATGGCTTTTATACGCCCACATGGAAATATGGACGTATATATGCCGTCGCCCCTGTCTGTCCGCCAGTCCGTCTTAATTAATTTCTTGAAGACACAGTAGAGGCTACAGTTTTTATGGTATCTTGATGATA